CAATGTTGCCTTTGACAAAAAAAAAAAAAAAACTGATTTAATGACGGCCTAGAGATGTATGGGAAATACAACCCGACTAAACGATATTCAGGGGTAATCCCAGAAAGGATGAGAATTTTGAACTAACATTTAGCAACTAACTGACTATTGTTTTCCAAAGGCCTCTTTGCTATCGTTAGGTTGATAGTAATTGGTATCCAGAAATAGCTCTGTGTACTTGAACCTAGCAATCTCTCATGGTGTCTGGAGATGCATGCGCCACTATATTGGGCGTGCATGATCGTTATCTGAGCACTTTTAGGTTTTTTATCGGCACTGAATATTTACCTCCGCCCAAAAAGTATGTTTTGGTCCTGTTAGTTCAACTATTAGTTCATATAACTCTTTGATTAGTTATAGCATTTTCATCCGTTAGCAACATTATGCAAAAAAAAAAAAAAAAAAAAAGAATAGATCAGAATTTGACCAAGACAGAAATGGTAAAACTTTGGCGTGACCCAAATTGCCCTTTACACAAACGTACATGAGGAAAACGCGACACATAGATACTTTGTTTGCGTCCGTATTCCCTGTCCGTCCTATCACGCATGCGCCATAACATCCGCCTCCTGGTTTCCCATGAATACGTAATACTCAGTCTGATGCAAAGTGCGTAATTTATCCATACATATAATAAATCAATTATAATAAAATATTATATAAAGCAATAACAAATTTATAGACTGCATCCGCCCACTGCAATAAAGGACAACTAGCATAACCAATAACAGGGTGCATCTATCAAAATACATGAGGCTTTTGTCGTGGCGATTTACTATTAAGATTTCAGATCTTATTGGTGAAATGCACGTGGTTTCTGCCGGTATGTGTGTGTCGCAGGCCAGATCCAAAATTAGTCTAGTCAAGAATTGCTCTAGACCAGATCCCATTTCAGTCTTTGCATTGTTAAAACCAGAATCAGCCAATGGAATTATTGACCAAGCAATTTACAGGTGAGCTGCCAGCTTGTTTGTATGACGTGTGTAATTAAATTAAATTGGTCATAGATCAAGGTACATAGAACAAGGTACATAGATCAAGGGAGAGAAGAGACGTTTTATTTAAGAACTAGTTTACAAAAATCAAGAATTTTAATAAGTTACACCATGTGTATAAAGAAAAAATCCAAGAAACCTCAGGGTCAGCAACAAATTTTTAATACCAAGAGTGAAAACGGAGCGTTTTAAATGACCCTTTATAATGCACAGTCTTTTAAATTTCATGTAAAATACTGCTCCGAATTGTCTTACAAGTCTTGTTTAAAGATATAGTCTTTTAGTTTATATTTTTAGTTACTTTCAAATACCCGTATGATTTTATTTATGATTAATTGTAAAACTTCAACCTTTGGGTTGCGATTCTAGCAAACAAAGTGTCATTATTATTATTAATATTATATTATCAAATTATTATTATTATATCACGTGAAACTTAAATATGGCAAATAAGATAAATTGTTTTATTTTATGTGGTTTGTAAAAACATTTGATGAATCCACCTTTTTATATACATTTAAATAAAAAGTATTTAGATTGATTAAAATATTTGGTAAAGGAATGTTAATTTCTTTAAAGGTGTGACGTATAGTTAGCAATGTTTCATTTATATTAATTTAAGTAAAGCATTTCTATTTTCTCAAATATATACTGCTTATTTAATTGTAGTAAAGTGGATTTAATCAAGTGAAAAAAATATTGAACTCAGTAATTATTTTTTCACTTTCTGACATCTTAACCTACCAGTACGGCAATGTGAACATTGGTAAAATTATTTTGTCAGGACATAATGCGTTTTTATAAAAATGTAAGATCTGGATTTGATTACTTAACAAATCCAATTCACAGTATGTAATATACTGGGTTCAATGAGTTTATAGCTGATCTATAGAATTTCCCCTTCAGTTTGCCTGATTACTAACAAGATGTCCCTGTAAATAGTTTAGCTATTACGTGGCAGACAGTTCAGACTTTTCCTTGTACCCTTCATGTTTTCTTAAGAAATTACAGAGAATTCTAAAAAGTTGTACAAAATATTGATGACCAGGGCCCGGTTTCATCAAGACTGGATAGGCTATCCTATGACATTATGACATTATGACATTATCCAAGGTATAAATCTTATATCATCTAGAAAGTTATCATCTGTATAAGTTTGTTTCACAAAGGCTGGATAAACAACATGATAGTAATCCAGTGGATAAAAATTTATCCAATATCACATTTGGAAAAACACATTCCCACAATGCAACTGGTTGCTATAAACATTGTAAAAGCCATAATAGTTGCTAACAAAAAACTGATCTATACCATATTTGGAAAATAAATTACTCACAGTAAGGAATATAAATGTATTTCAAAAAGGTACATTCATTTAAATAATAGGAATAATATCTACAGGATATTTTATGTTGTTTGATAAGGCAAAACTGTCAGTATCAAAACAGAGCTCATTGCATTAGTTGTGCCTCATGTAATGTTAACAATTTGCGATGGAAGAAAAAGGTCGTGACATAGTTTTAACAAAATGCTCACTTGGCACGTTTGGCAGATTCTGTCAATAGCAATGTAGAATTTGTCGTCAATTTAAAATGTATGTTTTTAGTAAAATAAAGCAGGGGTTATGTCATCTTCCATCAAGTCTGTTATGTAATCAATAGAGGCCTTGCTGACGCGCAACCTCCCAATGGATTCATTATCAGTCAAAGCGTCAAAAATAAACACACCTCTTCTGAAAGTTCTCTCTCTAAGCGTTCTACGTCAGTGAAATTTCATAGATTTTACTACCAGACCAAGCAGGTTCGCCATTTTGGATGATGTAACAGCATGATAGCAGATTTATGCAACCTTTTTCGAGTGGACAACTTTTTTTTCTCTGGATAAGCTGATTTATCCCCTGGATAACGCTATCCAGCCTTAATGAAACCGTTTTTTTTTTTTCTTAAACCTGTAGCTTTAATAATATATGTTCCTTTACTATATGTTTTAATAAATATAAATGCATTTTATTTTAATATCTATTCACTAGTCTTTAAAAAAGCATAATCGGAGTTGATTTTAAAACTAAAGTTCATTTGCTAGACCTGTAGGCTCAATGTGATATACTTTGGCCTATAACATCCATGATTTTATTACATATGCCATACAAAAACTGACAGCTCACCTGTAAATTACTTGGTCAATAAATATGCTCATAATGGTTTTAACAATGCAAAGACCCAACTGGTATCTGGTGTAGGTCAGTTAGTAAGTGGACTAGAATGGGATCTAACCTGTGGCATATGCATGTCACATAATACTTGTACTTTGACACCCTCTCTCGGCATATAACTTGAACATTTGCGGTGCAGCTCCAGTCTTTCTGGAATATACTGCTCAAGGACTTTGTATTAACTGTCTCTCACATATTTTGACCCTACAATTATAACTCCATTTAACACATGATGGTGAGTACTAGATGTGATTACTTAACTCTGCCTCGGCAGAGCGCTGCGCTTTCCCTGAGTACTTTGCTAGTGCTCTATCATGGTTAAAGCCAAACACAACCCTCGTGGCTTCACCTAAACGTGGAAATTACTCATGCATTGTCTCGCCTGCGGTTCGACAATACACTCACAATATTTGATGTGCAGCCCTCTACTGGGTATAACATGAATGCAACGCAAATTGAGATCGCACGCAAACATAACGATCGATCGTTATTTGCGATGGTGACTGCACCCACGTAATATTTGCGTGTCCGGAAGTACAATTATATTTAAGTTCGATTGCCGCACAAAGTGAAGACGCCAAAATACAATAACATATACAGGGGGTAATGGGATTTTATTTGATTATGATGGTAATCAAGAGATTGTTTTAATTTATAGGAATATCACAATTACAAAAACTGTCATTTGAAGTGTTTGGCACCAACAAAATGTCAAAAACAACTCAATAAGCGACACAATTATTGATACATTGGTGAGTAGTGTTCAGTCTCACAATAACAGACACTGAAGAAGGTCACGGTGTGACCGAATGCTATGTTTTTGCTTTTCCATTTTGTGTAGAATTTATGATTATCAATAGACTTCACAGATCTATTTTCATCAGCAAAAAACAAATAATATATTAAATGTTTTAATTCAATGATTTTATAAAATGTTCATCGGTATTTTTGGGGGGTCTTTAATGGAATAATATTCTATATACACAGCATTCTTCACATGAAAATTTACCGCAAGTTTTTTTTTTCTTTTTTTATAAGAGATACCGAGTGACCAAGTCTTTTATAAGCCACCATGCTTTGTTAAATGCTATTATGAGTAGCACCCCAAACTTGTTGCCATGTTTAATTACATTAAAGACACTATAAAATGACGAATTATGCGTGCGCAAAGGGAATTGGGACTGGATTAACTCGTCGCAAATAATAGCCTCGAAACTAACGGTGATATCGCTATTTCCACTCGGTCGCATTTGCACGATGCATTCGAAATACGGGGCCCTAGTGACACCTTCAGGAGCCAGCAGGCTTAATTTGGGGGTTTAACTAAACTCTACAAAGGCTTTTCTCTTGCGACTTTGATATTTTTTATATGTACGGTGAAAGCACTTCACTTATCCATTGCAATTGAGCTTTACCAAAACACTTTGTTTTTATACTAATAAATCTAAAATGAATTTTGTCGATTATAGTGAGAGAGGGAGGGTTAAATGTTAATTTCCTTCTTCCTTTTTTTTTTTTTTTTTTTTTGTATACTTATAAATATTAAATTAATTTTGTAGATAATCGTAGTTTAGATGGGTAAAATACATTTGTATATCAATACATCTTTAGTAACTTGCGAGGATAATAGTGAGACGTTAGGTGAAAAATTTTTTTATTATTAATTATTTAATTTACTTTGTAGATTGCCATGACCATGCATCTATATACAGAGGACATACTGCAATAGAGATACTGCTAGGAACAATTAAACCATGGCACGGCTTTTATCTGGATGTTTCGGGTCACCTGATGCAAAGTACATGTTTGAAAAAGAAAGAATAGCAAGTTTTAGAACATGGCCAGGAAAAGCCAAATGCTTGCCACTGGCATCTGCGGGGTTTTCTTACACAGGCAGTGCAGACGAGGTGATATGTTTTAGCTGTCGAGGTAGAATAAGTAACTGGAAAGAGAGTGATCGTCCTTTCCAGACACACCGCTTTTACTTTCCACATTGCAAACATGTGACTGGCCACGACTCTGGGGACGTTCCATTGTATGACCGCTTGCCCCAAAATGAAGGAAACGACCCATTTCCAAACCTGGCTTCAGGTAGAACACAAAGGGAATCAAACGAAACAGATATCCGAGACCCTGGCCAGAGCTCTGATAGCCTCACGAACGACCGTTGTTCACTAACTCCTCTTTTGGAGCAGGTTTATGGTCACCGTCCTCCGTGCAGTGATGGTATGAATGCGGAAGGAACCTCTACAAAAAGCACCAGCTTTGTATTGGCAGAACAACAGAAAGAACCCGAACCGTCTTCAGAACGGCAGGTACAGTTAGAAACACCATCGGATACCCGAGAGGTGATCAATAGCCAAATATCTGGTAACCAAAGACTCTCGAAACCTCACTACCAGGGTGGTATGCCCCAGCCAGGGCTCGATTACATGGCGCCAAATCAACATGCTACGAGTAAGTAGTATCAAGGCAGAGATCTTGTTCGTTTTTGTACATCTGTAATTAACTTAAGGCACTACGACTACTACTACTGCTAATACTACTGCTACTACTACTACTGCTGCTGCTGCTACTACTACTACTACTACTACTACTACTACTACTACAGGGTGGGAAATATTCAGTAGTATTTTAATGACGCGGATGCTTTATAATACAACAACCATGCATAATCAGTTAAATAAAATAGCTTGACACGTACATTTATTTGATTAAATCTTACTTCTTTTCAAGTGATAAAAGTGCCCCATGTTCTGTTTGCGTCTCTTACTCCCTCTACCAGCTTTTCATGTCAACTATTTTTCTCTCCCCTGATGCACTTTCTTCCTTTCTCTCTCTCATAGAAGTTGGTGCAAAAGAGAAAGAACCAGAATGATATGTAAGGATACTGTTACAAATGTTTTTGAATATACTGGTACAAAAATTGCTGTTATGTGGTTATATAACGGTTTTGCCGAGTACATAATTCATCATTGGCTTTGTGTCCATGTTAACTTAAAATAAAACCTATGACAGGTCACAACAAATAAACCATTTACATATTACACCGTTATTATAGGTTCTAATGAGGATGTGCAGTTCTCGTCGTGTCATGTGGATCCCGGACAAGCGGTACATACACCTACACCGAGCCACCCAGATATGATCTGCGGCACTGCCACATCTGTTTATGTACAAGAAACACAACATGTAAGTCCCCAAACTGAAATATAAATCAATAAATAAGTCAATAAATTAATAGATAAGATAATTAATTGGTGCAGAATTCCTTTACGGGGGGCGAAATAGTTGGCGTGGGTGGCGGGACTATATATATATAAATATATATATATATATTCAGTATTATTCCCTTATATATATTTAAAGGCACAGGAGACAAGCATCTCAGCTGCGTCACATGGAGATGGTATGGATGAGGATGTGAGACTTGCAGCTGAAATAAAATTACCCACAAATTCAGGAGCCCCGACAACAAGCCCCCATCGAATTCGTGCTGACGCATACATACAAACAGACAACGGTAAGTGATACAGAATGAAGCGCACACAGAAATGACTGGGGCAGATCTTTGTTAGTGTAGACCGCTGTAGGGCAGCTTGGAAAGATAAATATGTGATGAAATAGATTTTACTTGTAAAATGTAATTATACAAATTAACAAAGAAAAACGATTAAAATGGTCACAGTGTACATACATGTAAATTAACCAATTAAAATATAACATGACTACATTGGAGATTGGGAAATGGTTCATGACGAAAACAGAAACATTAATTTAGCTATATACCTTCACCAAGTATCTCGTAAGCTGTTTGTCTCTTGGTTCTTCAATTTCCATTACAAATGACCCATTTTTACCTAATTGACATCTCGAACCTTTAGGTGGCTGTCGGTATCTAAACATACATGTTTACACACTGCGCTGGCAAAAGTTTTTACACCAAGGAGTTGTACACTAATTACTATATCACAATAGGATAAGACAATATTAACCAATCGCTATCCAATGTGATCTGCTCATTACTGCTTTAACAAAGATAGATATGGGTATTAGCTTTATTATACTTACCGTTTACTGTTTACAGATTACGTAAAGGACGAGAGCGAATCCTTGAAAAAGGAAAAACGGTGCAAAATATGCTTCGATGCAGACTGCGAAGGGGTTTTTATACCTTGTTACCATATGGTAGCGTGTGAGTTGTGCGGACCAAAATTGAAGATATGTCCCTTTTGCAGAAAGGAAGTGACATGGAGGAAAGTTCATTTGTAACATGCATCGAGAGATCCCATTAGCGAGACAAGTCATCGAGAACGAACCCACCCACGTCTTTTCCTTTAAGTATAGGCCAAACTTTATGACATTATTACAGCACGTCACGTGGTCATTTAAGAAAGATAGGTTTAAACAATTCCATATTAAAGTACATGATAATGGTCTCCTTGCCTGATGAGATTGCAGAATCTCCGACACGTCGCCGTCACACTTCAGCTTCAAAGGGGTTCATACACACATTATTAGGTAGCCATCAAATCGCTCCAGATCAGAGTAGTTTACAGGTTTTTTAGAGTGAAGACCCTCAGAGGTGCCGTTTCTGCCATTCTCATGTCTGGCAATATGGTGAGTATTTATGTTTACCAGTATACGTCGACTTTATGTTGTCTGGTAGAAATTATAACATATCTCCATTTTTATGCTCTTGAGATATTGTCGGTTGAACTTTATATTTACATGTCATGCTTTGAAATCCGCATGCAGTAAGGTTATGCTCATGAAAAAGTACACTATTTGTTGAAATAGTCAAGTGAGATTTCCACAAAATGTGAATAGTAGGGGCATTTTTGGGTGAAAGTTGGGAACCAGGCTTATTAGCATAATTTTGGCATGCTGAATCCGATTTACCCGGTTCCCAAGCGAAATATTGCATTTTTAACGCTCTAATTTGCAAAAAAAAAAAAAAAAAAAAAAAATGGCCGCCAGATTTCCAATTTTCTGCAATATCTCTGTAATTAGACAGGCGAATATGACAAATGAAGTGTCCTTACCTATATTTTCAGGGTCGAGGAACATCATTAAGATTTTTTTGTTAGAATTAGGTTTACCCAGTTTTCCTAAATATGCAAATTAGAACCGCCATTACTGAAAAACCGTTTTACTTCTGTATCTCTTTAACTAGGCAAGCAAACATGGCACATGAAGTGCCCACACCCATGTTTTCAGGGTCAAGGAAAGTGGTTAAGACATTTTCACTATAACCAAATCTGTAATATGTGCTACACTGTCACACTGTTGCAATTATTCGAATTTGAATTGAATTTGGCGATTAAATACTGTGCTGCCATTGGGATGTAAACATTGGACCACACAATTGCCCCTTTTACCTAGAAAAATGTGATTCCCTTATTAATGCAATGGAGGGATTTACTGAATCTAGTAATTCATGTGATGCAATCTAGTAATTCATGTGACATTTAATATAGTAGTAATAATGAGCTTATTGAGCACTAAATGATATGAATGCATTTGCAGGCTCACTAGACTACATTATTTACACAATATATGAGAATATACATTTATATATGGAATTTTTTTCAAACATATTTTCTTTGATTTTTCCCCATCTGTTAGTAATGAATGAAAAGAACACTTGTTGTCATGTTTTGATATGGCTTTAATAAAGCATCCTGTGACAATACATCATCAAAAATTTAATTCAAATATTCAAATCGGCATTATAAACAGCACATGGGTAATTTTATAGCGGATAACAACAAGGTACTGAATTCTTATGAACTCAATGTTATCAAAAAATATCAGGTGGAAAGGATTTTCTCTTAAACCAAAGAATCATCAAGACAAATTTAAAAAATGGAAAAAGTTAATATTGAGTGCAGCCTCGACTGGAAGCCTGCGGACTCTGATTCGGCTATCGCGGCAGTGGAGCTCAAGCCTTGCCTCGACTCTTAAAACCACAAGAACCCAGTGCTGTTGCTGGAACCGGTAATGGTGTCTAGCCCACCGTTGAGGCAGACGTTGGTGTTACTCTGTTAATAGAGGCTTCATTTGAGGTCGCCTAGCGTGGTAATTGGCTAAAAGTAGCCTTGCGTTCACTTGGGTTCCAGAAACACGCTTTTGAATGGTAATTTGCCACTCATTTTGTAGAGCACGAGTTTTTTTTTTTTTTTTTTTTTTTTTTTTTTTTTTTTGTCTGGTTGCTGCGACATAACTGCAGAAGCAAGCGGTCTTCCCTTCTAGTGGTGACTTGCAGACGTCCTGGTTGTGGTCTCTGTGTTGGTGTACCAGTCAGGGCGTGTCTCTGTAAGACTTTAGAAACTGCTCCCTGGGACACATTCAGCTGTCCGGCAATAGCAGTTTGCTTATGTCCATTCAGGCATAATGCAACAATAGTGTGGCAAGTTGCTGCCGTTAGTTCACGCACCATAAGGTCAGCTAAGAGTCTGCAAAATATCAAACTCTTCTGACTGGGCATTACCGAAATATGAAGACTTATTCTACAGAATTGATGCCCTTTTATACGATTCCTGTAACCAGCCAAAGAGGACTGCTCAGAGAAACTGCCACATATTACCTTATATAACCGCGAAACAGAGAAAGCAACCTAATGAACAAAAACCGACACACCTAACTATACATATACCTGATCACAATTGACATATGTGATCAACTTTTCTAAAGAAAAAGTTAATTTATTATCAACACTTTGCTTTTAAACTAAAATACTCCATATTAAAGGGACAAAAAATAGGATTAAAAACGCCTTTTTAGTGCATGGATTGCTTCTTTTTTAACTTATCTGAGAACAATTACTATGGGTAAAGCATAAAATGGCAGGTAAATGGCCTTAATCAATATCGAAAAAAAGAATCATATTCACCGTGCACTTTCGAACCCCGTGCGTCAGCCATCTTGACATCTTGACACAGTTTGAAATAACGCGGCTTCTCGACTCAGATACGAGATGTAAACAATGCAGACAGCATGTCGTTTCGAAGGTGAGCGTGGACGTGAAGGAGAAGAGGAATTGCTCACCGAATCTTTGGAGTTAAGCGAGTTATATTTACCAAAAGTACTTTAAAATGGGAAGATGGCAGTGGAAATCAAAATGTCTGGCAGAGGAAGTTAAAAAGCGTAGATAACTGCTAATAATTAACGTTTCCTCGGGTAACGCACTCGCAGCCAAATCACTCGCACTGGGTACGTACTACTAGTTATATGAAGCGAGATAGTGCACTTTACCCCTGAGGTGTATAGTTCTGTAAAGCAGGAGGAATACCCTTTTCTGCTCAATGTGGTCATCTACCAGTACTTACAGACTAACCTCACACCATATTCTCGCAGGGGAATCCCATGAGATATACAATGTAACTCGAGTACTAGTGGGGTTAGAGGGTGTTCTTTGTACGGCACGTAACTACGTTAGCTTATTTGTAAATTTAATAATATT